TGGAGAGCTTCATGAAATAATGTAGAAACGAGAAAGCTGCATCTGACATGGACGTCCATTATTTCATTGTATATACAATTATTTGTATATACAATTATTGTATAGACATATATACATTATTCCAATGTATATGCGTCTATACAATAGCCCACATCCTCATTCAGCTTCATAAGAGCTTCAGTGTCTGATACCAAAGTATGCTTTTATTTATTTATCCTTTGTTATTTATCCTTTTCCATATCTTCCAATTTTTTACCTTAATTTAAATGTTTGCAACTTCCTCAACATTTTCAGTCTCATGGTTTATGTACTTCTAACTCTCCTTCTATGCTAACTCTCTAGCACATTAATAAATACTCTGGATAATCAAACTACAAACAAAAGGGTTGCTTTGGGTCAGTTTTGGAAAGTTCTGTCCATAGCCAGTTTGCCTCATTGCTTATAGCTGTTGGGTAAAACATCCTGCTGAAAAAATTAGAATAAAGATATTGAATTCATGACCAGAAAGAGACAGTGAGAGGGAACCCCAAGAACTCCAGGACCTCTTCAAGTATGCACTCTCAGAAACTGGCAGATATTCCCCAAGTCTTCAGTGTTCACTAATTCCTCATTCAGAAGAAATCCTTATGAGTATTCTGATTTTCTCCACATTGTTCTCAACATATTTATTTGAAATATCCTTGGTTTTGTTGTTTTCCTATCCTCTAGGAATAGAACAAATGAGCTCATGCAAAGAGTTGATATCACAGGATCCCACATATCCTCATGTTCAAACGTGTAACAATTTCAGTAAGTGCAGCAGAGAATAAAGTCAACCCGGGAAATTGAAGGCTCCTGTTTATCCAGTTGTCTTTCCTTCTGTGTTTTCTTTCTTCTGTAGAAATTTGCTCACTAGCTGTTGCCTCTCCTTAAAGCCTTTTTGTAAAATACCACTGCAGAGAAACAGTAGGTGGTGTGTTGTTCTTAACTAGCCTCTCTCATTGTCATTTCTTTGAGCATGCTAGGACACCTACATGGAATTTTAAATACTCAATACATAAAGTGAACTCTTAACACTGATTTTATTTTAAATTCCAGACTTCTTACTTGATATTTTTCTGTATTGGTTTGTCTTTTAAATTATTTGTTTCTTCATTTTTTGATAGGACTGATCTTGAACTTACAAAGCAATCAATGACAGCCTTGACTCCGGACTTTCCTGTTTCGATCTCCCTGATGGTGGAACCACAGGCATGCACCAACACACTCAGGTTTATTTTTATTACCCTTTTAAACTCTGTATCGAAAACACAATTTGTCCTTTTACTTATCAGACTTACTAAGCTATATTTCATCTGTCTTGATGAATTGAAATTTAGCTAGTTCCTCAAGCTAAAAATCCATGTTGATATTGATTCTTTTGTTTCTCTTTCCCGTTCATGAATAACAAGCAACAATAACTCTAACCTGAACACTGTCTAACATGCCTTCTACTTCCCATCAGTCTCACTTAGAATCACTTTACATCCTCAGTCTAACAACTACACAGCCTACTTACGGGAGTCCCTGTTCACCGTTTCAATATGTTCAAATTCTTTCCTTTATGCTTTCCCTGGTTTATACTGATCTTTAATATTTGATGCCTAATCTTTCTTTACAATCTCTTCTCAGTTTACTATCTTTGACCCTCAAAACTTTGGTCAGCTAATTATCTCCAAGTCTTTTGAATTTGTCAAGTTTTTTTTCAGTGATCCTAATACCTGCAGCTTCCTGCCTTTGTTCATTGAATCTTCCTATTCCTTCTACCACTTGCTTATTTCCGTTCTTCAGTTCACAGGATGGCACTGCTCAGATGAGATGCCATGTTGCATTCAGACTCATTTGCAGCCCCTCTGCCTAACTTTTATATTCTCTGTAAATAAACTCCACTCTCCCTCTCATAATTCCTAAAAGCAACTACATGTTATTCAACAAATATTGTTTACACATATTATTGATAACAGACACCATGTTTTCCATCTCTTCGTCTTCTTCCATTTACAGGGTTTTACATTTATCTCAGGTTGACCTCAGCCTATGGTCTCCTATGCTCTTGGATTACAGGCATGTGTCAATAGGTCTAGTTGAGAAACATCTTATATAACACTTCTTCAACGTTGTATAGAGATTGGAACTTAAGGTAGCTGACATGAGTGGTTACTTGAGTTAGCATAGGTGTGGAGAGAGCTGAATATTTGAAAATTATACACAGTGACTGTAGCTTTTTGAAACAGTTGTTTCAAAATGAGTTATTTCATAGTGAAAGTATCCATATTTTTGTTTATTTCTTCCCTATAACAGCTAGTAGTTTCTAGTTATAAATGAATAGTGTTTCGAATGAGTGGATTATAAAATTTGTGATTCATTTTCTCTAGGGCAAAACAAGATTTTGTGAATGTAGTTAGGAGTCACCTACTTACCTTAAGTTCCAATTCTCATTCTTGTTACTTTTTAGTATTTACTCCTTTAAAACATTTCTTGGAAGACTAATAATAATTTACTTGTCTATCTGTTTCTGTTAATAGAAGAATATTACAATTCAGCTACATATTGTAATATCAATAAACTGTTTTGAATTGAAAATGAGATTCCTTTGAGTACTAGTAATGATCTATGACAGAGGATTCCTCTCATTGAAACTTTTCCTGCACCAGTATTACAGAAGTAACTATTTTTCATTTCATAAAAAGAATTAAAGTTAGTGTCAATTAAGTGTTATACACCAGAATTATGGGGAGGTGGAAAGACAGCACATTGATTAAGAGCACTTGCTGCTCTTGTAGTGGTTCTGAGTTCAGTTTCTGTCACCAATGACAGGCAACTGACAACCCCCTCTAACTCCAGCTTTAAGGAATTTTATATTCTCTTTTGGTCTCTGAAGGTACTGTGCTCAAATCAAAAAGACACCCACATAGGCACAATATAACAAATAACTAAAATTAGAATGAAAAACCTAAAGACTATGCATCAGAAATGTGTAATTCAAAGTTTTAATGTCATATTATCTTTCTATAATTTTTCTTACAGTCTAGTATAGAGCTCATCTTAAATATTTGAAAATTAAGTAATTAAACATGACATTCATTTTCAAATATATGCTGAAGCTATCATTTATCTCTTTATATCTTTCCCTCTCTCTTATAGTATATATGTCTATCATCTGTCTTTCTATTTAACGTATTTATAAACATCTTAAGTATAGAGATAGGTAGAAGCATAGATAAAAATATGGAAAGATATACCAGACAATTTGCTTAAAAATTTCAAATGCTTGCCTTTTTGCTTCTAAAAATATGATGACTTTGTTTTAGTAAAAGAGTGTAGCAGTGTACTGTCAGTGTAGAAATGCTTAAGAAGACCCTCCCTACAGTATTTACTCTATGATGACAGAAAAGTGAATGCATGCTCATAATGATAAAAACAAAGTCATAACTCTGGTTGCATTTATCACCTTGATTTGGCAAGCGATCACTTTAGAAAGATATCTCAGTTTCAAGTTGAAATGAAAACTGAGAAATTGGCAATTGAAAAACCATGATTTTAGACAAGAGAACTATAGTCTGCCTTTACTGTACATCTTCAAACGGAAGCTAGGTATCTGAGATTTATTAAACCAAAGCAAAACTATTAAGTGTATGGGCCTTGCAAGATATGACAGTGTTCACAGTCATCAGAACTTAGATATAATTGATGTTTTAGTGAGTGTTAGTGTGCAGTTTGTTTTTGTTTTTGTTTTCTTTTCTTTTATCCCCTCTAATTCTGTCTAAGGTTAGTCTCTATATAGGATTGTTGCATGTGCTACAAATTTTATATTCCCAAGTTTTTTTTCTTGGACTTAGAGAGTTGCATCAGCTGCAATCACCTCTCTTACAGACAAGCAAAGCCAAGGTGATGAGCTCCATGCTGACTAAGCTGCAGGAAATGTTCCCAGTTTGGCCTCTTGATAGCCACATCATAGTGACATCTCTGTCAAATACTCTGTAAATAACTGTGTGAGCATCCTACTGGGTACTGCCAGTGATATCAGAAGATGAACATGGCAAAATTTAAACTAATAGAGTTGTTTTGGGTTTAAGCCAGTATAAATCTGTGGACTTATATATTCAAAAGCTAAACTTACTATTGTCATCCTACTGAAATGAAATTCCCTGCTTCTTGAAGTATCTTAATATCAGATTCCAAATGCAGCCACATAGCATATACCTACATACCTTACACTACTTTACATTCTGCCATTCTGGATTTTTTAATCTCCCTTTCTCTCTCTCAATCTCTCTCCCTCCCTCCCTCCCTCCCTCTCTCTCTCTCTCTCTCTCTCTCTCTCTCTCTCTCTCTCTCTCTCTGTGTGTGTATATGTGTGTGTCTGTGTGATTAAGTGTCTGTTGATGCACACCATATGTTTGAAGGTCAGAAGACAACTCTCTGAAGTTAACTTTTTCCTCCCACTGTTATAGAGTTTTCAGAGATTGAACCTAATTCACAGCAAGTATTACACAGCAAGCACCTTTACCTACTGAGCCATTTTGCTGACCCCTACTGTCATAGTTTTAATAGATCTCTTTTAAAATTATTTAAAAATATTTATTTTACATAAATCATTAAAAGATATTTCTAGAAGTTTAAAATAGTCTTCATAGTTAATCCCAAAGAACCATCAGTTCTCACTTAAAGGGGTCGATGCTAATAGTTTCTAAGGAGAAAACTGGGGCGAGTTAAACAGATGTAAATAATGACACATGATAAATATGATTCTTATGTGAAGCCACGATTTAATTGTGATGATAGCAAAGGAAAAGAATTTTATGGAAGCAAAACAATATGTCAAGCTCTGCAAATATACTGAAGTAAGTGATACACATCCCTAAAGCACCAAGAAGTTCAGTTGAAAAGAATTGCTATAGAATCAGCATACACAGTGCAGCCCGTGGAATAAACGCACTCCCCGAGGTGCTGGAGGTTGCTTCAGGTCTTCATGATTTTCTTTAGTAAGGATAATGCCAACCACTCAAGGAAGAGGAGTAAGGTTGGAAGCTGTTGTATTTATAGCTCGTGGGCCTGTAGCAGCTAGGCATGCTGCTGGAAGACTGGCATCCGTAAGTCAGGTTTCTCAGTGGTGGACGGCCATAGGTCAGATACCCCAAGGGTTGACATCCATTATACAGATAACTTGGAACATAGCAACTCATAGGCTGTCCACAGAATGTTGGACGGCAAAAGCTGGAATTGTGGGATGTGTTGGGAAGACAACTAGTTCCTTCTTGAGATCCAGATATACCTGAAGTAATCGGAGAGCAGACTGAAGGGCTGCCAGCGCTCCTGTTGCAGCTGGTTGATTGACAGCTTCTGGGTTCACTGCAGGGCTCTTGACAGTTGTCACGTGGTGTATTGCTCCCCAGGCTGCTAGTAGGAGAGCAAGGGGCATCTCTATTTCTCGTCTCAGTGGAGCAGAGACCACTGGTGACAGGTGAGGTGACAGGAACATGACTAGAGTTCCTACAAGAAGAAGAGCTGAGGACTTCTGAGCAGAAGTTATTAGACATGATAGCAATAGAGAGATAGACAACCAGGCCTCGATTAAACTGCAGAGAACAAGTCACTGAAGTGTGGTTGTTACCTGCTAGACTTCTTTATATATCTCCGTGCTGGGTGTTGGTTCTTGCTATAGTCCACCCTCCTGGCGTCTCACTAGAATGCCATCCAGTTGCCTACTAAGCATTTCTCCCACTAACTCATAAAACATACATCACCTTTCAAATAAGTATCACTTCAGTGTCAGTCTGGTCCTTCTTATTCAAGTTCTCATTAGAAGTAATTTTCCTTTAACTATCATAACAGTTTCTTGAAGTTACCGTCAAAAACCCACTAATGCTTTGGTATAATTGGTGAGAATTTATGTAAGCCACATAGAAATAAAATAAAATTATATATACCAGAATGTTTAACATATAAGTAACACATTGGAAAAAAAGTGATAAATATTGAGAAAATTAATCTGAGTTACATGATACTTCTTTGGAGAGTTAACCTGAATTGGGAACCCACTCCACTACTGAAAAGTCTAATTTAGATATTGCTTTCAAGTGTATCTTTCCCAGTAAGAAACAGTGACCTGAAAATACTGATTTTTATGAAGATCCACACCCATACCCAAAGAGTATGTGTCATCATTATATCTTTTATTAGAATGAAACTGAAGTTGTTGGCATACATCTTTTGATAGATGTTATGCACAAAGAAAGCCACATCACTTTTGGTGCTTACTTATATGAGTTTCAGAATGATGTCATAAATAAGATATCGGGTATATTTCCAACCAATTTTTCTGTAATTTTACAAAGAGTATTTTCTCAAACACAAAATATTTTTAAATGAATTATGTTTTCCATGTTGTTAATTTCTTTTTCCTGACAGTCATTTAGAGCCATGATATATCGTTAGAAAAAAAGTGAAAATTCTCAGTTTATTCTGCCAAACAAAATCATAGCTGTAGTTTAGTTATGTCACTGTACTCTACAAATCTATCTAGGCCATGCCATTTAGATAAATGGCCTCTCAATGTTCCTTGAAGAGTTTCGTTTCAGGAGAGTGCTTGCTTACATCATGTGTCTCTGGAAACACACACTTATTGGCACCTGTTGGAGTGGGAAAATAATAGACTCTGGACAGTTTTCTTTTCCCCATATTTCAGTTTTACCTTCCTGAATCAACCAACACTTTTGGCCAGAAAATATATAACCAGAACTTGTGCATTGGCTACTCTTCTATTATTACATTCTCAGATGCAATGTTTTGAAACTCAAATTCTTACTTTAAAAAAAATATTGCAAGCACGTTTCAAACAAGCTCATCAGTGTATTCCAGGATTTAATAAAAAAAAAAAAATGGCAGAAAGTTTGGTCCATTATCCACGCAGGAAGTCCTCAACAGACTTGACCTGAAGCACAGTAATCCAATGTAGCCAGCAAGTAGCCAGCACTGGACCTTACTTTTAGACCTTTATTTTTATTTAACTTTCTAAATTTATCTGTGCCACAGATAGCTATGACAGCACATCATTTTGAAGGCAAAATAGTCTTCTTTTCACTAAGAAAGCCCATTCCTCTGCCATGAGAATGCTCATAGGTGACTCTTCTTGTTAGAAATTCTAAACATCTCTTGGAAATCACTCACTAGAGTTTAGCAATTATAAAGGCAATTTTTTTCTATTTGTAACATCAGGAAACATCCACTCTAGCACTGAGTTTACATCTGTTTTGGGTGTGTATTTCAACAGTCACATTTATTTAAATCCTTTTAATACTGGGAACACTATAAACACATTTTACGATTCTTGAATAAACAGAAAATGGAGTGAGTCAGGTCATAATTCTCTTTATTGAATAAAAAGATGGCTAACCAACAGTATACCTTATATTCCCTGCACTGGAACTTGAAGACTTTTTGAAATCATATGTATTGCTTGATAATTTCATATCTGTATATTATATTCATGATTATGATTAAGTCCAGTCTACAATCTCTCCCTTCTGTGATGATTTCTATCTCCCATCCCCATTTTTGTCTCAACTCAGTATGGTTTGTTTTTAAAGCTACTAACTACATTTATTGCTGCCTGTGTAGGCTTAGCTATAAAGGGATCTACCGAGAGCATGTGTCGGTACCCTGGGTATGCATCCCTAGAGAAAACTGGCTCTCATCCTAACAGCAGCCATAGGTTCTCAATAGATTCTCAACTACAGTGGGAGATAGTTTCCTTTTTCCACCCCAGTGGTCAATTGACTGTTTATTCTAGAAAATAGTCACCATAAACAGTATATATTTTCTGATTCCATAATGTTAATATGTAAACCACAGATAAGTTAAATCTCCAGATGCTTGTTTCTCCATGTGTGATGTAGATTTGCTTGCTAGATTTATCAGTAATTAACTAAACGTGAAGTTATGCTGCTGTTGCTTTGGATAAGAAATATCTTGGATTGCCACACCCTGTAGCTAGTTCCACCATCGGAGACTCATGGCCTAATTAGCTGGGCACTACTGTTAATAAGATAAACTAATACGTTCTGTCATTCACTGAGTACACAAGTGCATGTTTGATGGAGTAAATAATGGGGAATTACCAATGATGCGCTGTACTTGGAAGTACGTCATATTTGTATAGGAAACCTGTTTCCTAACTATCAAAAGAGGACATATGTTACCACCTCTGTCCACTGAACCTTACATAAGTGCCGGAGTCTGTCAACAGAAAACAAACAAACAGAAACTCCTTTCAGTTCTTATTGCCTTCTAAGGATCAGTCCACTTGCACAGATATGAACTTGCTTTGTGTGCATTGATCAGATCAGCTGTAGAGATGTATGTATAAGGTTTGGAGAGGCTATTTCCGGTTCTTTGGAATGAGAATATTCTGGGTTTTTAGAAGTAAAATAAAGAAGAGTGGAGAAGAAGGAACACGGGGGCTGGTGTGGGAAAGGCCCACATGGTTCACTTGACTCTATGGCTTTAATAACCTTGAAAGTCTGGTGCCATTAACTCTTTTAGTGGGAGGGCAATGGCATGCTACATATATAGCCTCCGGGTAGACGGTTAGTGAGCAAGTAACAGCAGGAATAGCAGTCACATGGGGTCTTAATTCCCAGAGCATCAGAAGAAACAGAATGGCATAGTTTTAATAGACTGGAGTGGTGGTGCAGTGTGTGTGTGTGTGTGTGTGTGTGTGTGTGTGTGTGTGTGATCATAGTCAGTGAGAGCCAGGTGAGAGGAATACACTCTTCTACCTTCCACTGTAGTATTATTTGGATCTTCCATCACAAATATGAAAAGCTAGTAGGTTCCTCTATTAATGAATTTATCCTTTCCTGTTATTTTTCTGTCTGGAAGTAATGTTTCTATGTCTGTAATTCGTGAGTCCTTTCCTCCCCAATGACTGACCTCTTGATGTGACCTTCCCTGTTCCCTATCTCAGTCATTGTACTTTTATTCATGAAAGTTTGAATTCATGAAGCTTTATTCATGAAAGTCTCTCTTTTTACCTTTTATACCTTTACTTACTATGACTATATGTCTTCTAACTTTGTAAGCAGAGTTAATCTGACTGTCTCTTACTGTTTTTCCTACAGAACTTTAGCATCCTCATAATTTCTGCTCTGGCTTTGATAGACTCGTGTTTAGATGTTGTATGGACCTTAGCTCCATGTTCCTTTGTATGCTCTGGAACTGTCATACGCCAGGTGTCATTAACCTTTTGTCTGGTGCATACTTTTGTGTTCCTGTAAACATTTCCAGCTTTTTTCTGGGGTAAGTGTGATTGACACGGAAACAGTTTGATCCTTTTGAGTGTTGCTCTCATGGAACAGTAACTGAAACTCAATCAGTCTTTCATCTCGGACATTTTTTGCCTAAGCAAAACATCCCTTTAATTTTCTCCTGCATCTGGAGGGAAACTAAATGATTACAGGACACTTGAGTTCTGAGTTTCCTTGCTAATTCTATCAGGTGGCTCTTGTCCAACTTCATGAGGTTCCCTCACCTGCATGGATTAATCATTACACTGGAAGGCTTTGGTGAACTCTGCAAATCCTTGCCCTTCTCAGCACTTCCCTGTGCTGCTCTCCAGAATCCACCCTTACCTCTTCACTTTTGCTGAGTACCTTGAAAAGATCCAGGTCTCCTGACCTTTGTCCAGTATTGTGATTATTTCAACAGGCAAATGATCTTACTATACCATTGTCTAGAGGCAGAAATCCAAATCAACTAATTAGAATCTTTACTTTCATAGGGGTAAATATCTGTTTGAGAAAGAGAAGAGGCAATTCTCCCTATTTTGGAAGATAATTAAATGCAAGTTCCATAATTATAGCCACATTTATTTTAAAGTGAAGACCTAATTTGTGCCCAATAATTACTATTTCTATTTTATTTTAAATCTCTTTTCTCACTTATATACATGTGCACAATAGTTTAAAGGACAATAAACCATTTTAAAACAAATAATCTCATTATTTTAATTTTTCTTACACAGATATATTTTTTTCCAGTGGATGCTGAGAAAACTTCAGCAAAAACTCATGAAGTCAGCACAATATATAAAGGCTTGCTCATAGGAAATCTACATTGGTTCACTAATTATGACCAGTATAAGTATCAGTATAAGCTACTACTAATGGAGAAAGATTAATTTAAAACCTGCATTACTTTCCTAAGTTTTTTATAAATCTGAAACAATTCTAAAATATTTAAATGTGGACAATGGGCTAAATTTTATGTACTAAAAATCAAAAAGATTTGTTTATTTAATGTCTTTATCAGTTTATTCGACTAAAAACTTAAATAAGTTACAGGCTTCTACATGTTTTTGTTGTTGTTGATGTTTTGCTCTTGTTCTGTTTTGAGACAGGGACTGATACAGTACAGACTGGACCAAAACTCACTACTTCCCAAGGCAGACTGTGAATTTGTGATGCCTAGTTTCCATTAACTATGTACTGGGATGACAGGTGTTACAGCGCCATGCCCACTTAAGTGCACCCCACTGAAG